AGAACAGCAACGCGGGATTCATCAGTATTGTCTGTGGTTGGGGTTGTGTAGATGGTCCTGACAATCTCATACACGTGAGATGATACAAGGGAGTCTGGGATTTAGGTTAGTCTTCATCATGATCCAAGTCATTTTGGGGAGAACTTACCAGGGAGTTCCAAAAGGTATAGTTTCAGTAAATGCGCAACCGTAGAGACGTCATATTCCGAGAATGCCTCGGGGGGAAACGGTTTGCCATTATTTATCCTCCCTCGTAACTTGTGAACTTGAGGAAGCTGGACTTCTGTGAGCCATACTCCCCGTCTTGCTTCGTCTCCCTCTAGATCCGGGTAGTGGTTATCAAGATACGTCAGGATCGTTGTGATGATGATAGGAACGCGCTTCTTATCCGCTCGAGCCCTGGCCTCTAGATCCACACCGAACGTCTGCTCGTCGACCTTGTTGTAGTAATTCTCGTACGTGACAACTTTAGGAGCAAAACGACCTGTTCTGTAGTTCTCCAAAAGATATCGCAAGTCGCCCGCGGGCTGGACCGTCTCCTGGTACAAGATCATGCGATCCACGGCTGACTGTAGACTTGGAATGACATTTCCAATAGCGCCCGAGAAATCGAGAATAACAGTCTTGATGGCCTTCAATCTGTCCAACTCGCAACGTTCGAGGAACCTTAGGTGTACGAAGATGGCCTCCTCTAGCTCACAGCGCATTTCATCAAGTTTCTGGACACTAGCCTTGTACTTCTCATCCGTCTCCCTCGCCTCGCGGCGCAGGCGCTCCGACGGAGTCTCGTTCGGGTGCTGGTTGTTGAGGACATTCCAGCCGGCAAGGTATTCGCTAACAGCACCCACGACAGGGGAGTCACTTCCATTTTCGGGAGACGTAGGCAAGGAGAATGTCCTGGACATTGGCGCCTTCTTCTCTGGTATCCCTGATAGTTGGAATGCTTTTGGTCGCCACTGGTAGAAGAGTTTTGAGCTGTTCGCGAAGTTGTTTCCAACGTTACCGACCAGACGAAGGAAACCGTTAGATACTAAGTCTTGACCGATTCGTTCGGCGTAACTGATGCTGGTTGAGCCCATATGTCGTTGTAGGTACTCAACTATGTCAGAACCGGAAGAGGTGTTGAGGTATGTACCCAGGATGGATACTTTGGTCTCGCCCATCTTAATAGTGTTCAACATGTGAACTAGTATCTTCTTGACCTGCTCAGTCTGGTATGTCTCATCACCGATCTCATATATCTCGTCCTCCTCTTCCTCCTCCTCCTTTTCCACCTTGATCTCGGGGATGTTCTGGCCCTGGGCTTGCTTAGGGCTCGTCTCCGGGTCTTGGAAAGCTAGTTTGTTTTCCTCTTCGAGATCTTCGACTAAGCGACACTTGTTGAAATAGTTGCTTCGCAGCTTCTTGACGACCTCGGCCTGGCGATCGTGAGCTTTGATGCGAGTCTGCAGCTCGTCTTGCGAATCTTGAAGGCGAGATTCGTGAGCGTCGCACCATCGCGCAAACGGGTTTACCACCAGATCCCTGATGCTCTGTGCGATCTTCTTGTGGCTTTTGGAAGCATCCTCCATCTCGATGCGGACGCCATCGTATGCCTAAACACATGTGACTGTTAGCTAGGGTCATCCTACTGCTGTGAATGATGCGGGTCGTACTTTTCGCGTACTTGCGCCATCGTCCTTGGAGAAACCACCAGTTATCTTGTCAGCTGCAGGCGCAATATCCCCGAGTCGCTGTCCATAAAGCTCTTCCGCTTCGGCTCGCATTCGAGCGATGGTTAGGACTTGTCGATTTTCTTGGACTCCTTGCTGGAGCTTGCTGAACAGGACACCCAGTCCTTCGAACTCGTTAGCATCGTCGTAGAGGGGCCAGATTTGGGTAGCAATATGTTTCGCGCTCACCTGCAGCGTAGTCTGTCGACCAGAAAGAATCTGCGAACCCCGGCATGATGATGACGCAGTCGTCTAGAACCACCGGATATTCTTGGCCGCGTCGATGTTCTAGTGCTGACTCAAAATCGGGGAGATAGTTATGTCTGACACTGAGGGAAGTTTATAAGGCGCGAATCTAGAAGTTGGTTTGCTATGCGATGTGCAGAACCAATGGGCAGGGAGCTGGCAAAGAATCGAAAAAAGGTGCCCGGAGCGTCAAGGGACTCTTGGGAAATCGGGCGGGTGGGTATCACAAAGGGGAAGCCGTGTCACTGATGTAAGTAGGGAAAACCGAGAACGAGAACGAGAAGAGAAGAGAAGAATGTTGATTAAACCAAACCAGACCAGACCAGACCAGACCCGGTTCAGACGGCAATGTGCAGTATGTCTAGATGCGAAATTGTACAGGAAGAATGAATGATCAAACAGAATGTCTCCATCTGTTTCTGTTTCTGGTTTCTGGTTTCTGTCTCGCTGTCTCTTTTTTTACGAAATTCCTTCGCCAATAAAGAATAAAGCACTTGGGGAGAAGCTTGGACGGCGAAAAGCACCTGAAGCTGAAAACTCATTGGTCCACCTAGGGTTGGACCTGCAGACTCCAGGGGGTTTATTTAGTTGCTTAGGTGCATTCTGTAGGAAGCCGGTACCTTAACGTAGCATATTCAGTGCCTCAGTGCCTGCAACATGCCTGCAACTTTACCTGTAACTTTGTCTGCAAGCGCTGGGGCGGTACAACCAGACGACGTATTGAAGGTATGCGGCATCATGTACGTACCTACCTGCTTTTGAAACAATTACGTACATGTAAAATACTTGTAGGCTGAAGTGGGCTACCAAGCTCGCTGTAGATGATACCTAATTCAACTTGGTGATCAAGTACTGCATTGAGCTTAGCTGACGCCATGGGGACAAGAAAAAAATATCCCTGGAGCGAGTCGTTTCATCTGATCTTTTTGGGCATCGGCCCTGTCGAGCCTTACTCATTAAGAGGCGCATGTCCACGAGAGGCCTCTTGATTATCGATATAATTAACCACTTCGTACTCTGTAATTAGCTATACTTTAGTACATACATGCCACGATTCCACGATGTCACGAAGCGGTCAAGCACCGGAGAAACCTTATGTCTTTATGTCAGATACATTAACGTAGGTATCGGGGCCGAAAAGCCGTTTTGTCTTTAATGGCAACTGTCTTCAAGACCGTGCCGGGTTCAACAGATGATGTTGCAGATTACCGGTCTATCTCGCTTGATTAGCGAAAAAGATACAGTATGATCGGATACCGGTGGTGGCTTGGTAAGCCGGCCAGCTGCATGCCTTCGCTATCAACGTCCTCAACCGTTTAATCTACTTCCCATCACATTCACGTAGACTTAGACAAATCATTTGTCCATAGAAACATTACAATATGAATGAGAAAGCAGCTTATAGTATCGAAGATGCGATACCCGCACGCCCTCGGCTTTCATTCGCAAAGAAGGCAATCTTAATTGCATCATCCCTCTTAGTCTTAGGCACTCTGCTACATCCTACATCGCGATGCTATCACCCAGTATCAAAGGCTTATTCTCACTTCCATCCATCATCGATTGAAGAGAGAGTCCAAAAGATCCTCTCAAAGACTCCCTTGATAGGTACCTAATTTCAAGTAACTCCCTAGTTAATAACGACAAAACACTAATTACCACCAAGATGGACATAATGACTTTGCTATCTTCATCCGAGCTATGTACAATAACCACATCTACAATGAGAACTTTACAAAGCCATTCGAGCAGGGAGGGCTGGCGATGCACGTCGACCTACCCAGGCTGAGAGAGGGACAGAACGGCGGAGCTTTCTGGAGTGTCTTCACGCCTTGCCCGGAAAATGGTACCGACTATTCGGATGAGAATTATGCTCCTAGTGTGCAACTCACTCTGCAGCAGATCGACCTCATGACCCGGCTCCAAAGTGCTTATCCGAATGACTTCTCTGGAATTCCGGTGGACAGCAAGGCGGCCGTAGCAGCCTGGAAGAAAGGCAAGTTTGTCTCGCCGCTAGGGATCGAGGGTCTCCATCAAATCGGCAACTCAGTCGCTAACCTACGACGGTACTACGCTATGGGAGTCCGCTATGCCACGTTGACTCACAACTGCGGGAACATATTCGCCGACGCGGCTCTCTGGGAAAATCCCTTCGCCAAAGCGCCCCCGGTGTGGCATGGCGTGTCGGCCAAGGGCAGACAGCTGATTAACGAGATGAACCGCATCGGTATGCTGGTCGACTTATCCCACGTAAGCGCGGACACGATGAGAGATGTCCTCGGCGGCGGCGAGGAGTGGGCTGGTAGCAAGGCCCCTATCATGTTCAGTCACAGCTCTGCCTTTGCCGTCTGCCCGCACCCCCGCAACGTGCCCGACGATGTGCTCCATCTTGTGAAGGAGAAGAACTCGATTGTCATGGGTATGTTCGCAGAAACTTCAGTTGTTAAATCTCATGCTAATTGCCGCAGTGAACTTCTCGCCTGATTTCATCAGCTGCGTGGACAAGGGTGCTGAGAACGGTGTCCCTGAGTTCTACCCCGAGAACAACACCCTCTCCCAGGTCGTTAACCATATCACCTACATTGGTGACTTGATTGGATACGATCACGTTGGCTTAGGGAGTGACTTCGATGGCATCCCCTCGACACCAGAGGGCTTGTCCGACGTATCTGACTACCCAGCTCTGATAGCAGAGCTATTGCGCCGAGGCGTCTCAGACGAGGATGCTGGCAAGATCGCGGGCGGCAACATATTACGTGTCTGGGGAGACGTTGAGAAGGCCGCCGCCAAGTTGCAAGCCGATGGCGAACCTGTGCTGGAAGATGACTTGCAAAGCATTTTTGAATTAGAGGGCATACTATGAGAGCAACTGATATCACAAGACAGACACATGATGCCTTCCCTCTTCAGCGTTATGGGTTGAGAAGCAAATATGTTAGTCGTGTTTGTATTCATTAGCACTTTCAGAGACCAGTCAGAGGTTATATAATTGATGATGATGATCATATACTTTACCTGACACTCCTATACGCGTTATGCAAAGCATCAATGGTTTAGTGGTAGAATCCATCATTATTATCGATGGGCCCGTGTTCGATTCACGGTTGATGCGGCTAATCTTTCACTTTTTGTTATTTTCTTGCAGCTATAAATTGTCTACATGATTACCATCTTGAAGAGGCTGCCGTGACTAGTAAGTTTGTTGCGGATAGACCATATACTGTATAATTATCACCAACATAGATTCATAATGCAACTCATACGTTCAGACCCGAGATCGGAACACATCAAAGTGTTCTTTCTCTCTTGTATATGTAATATGGTCTTAAGGTATACATGTAAATATATCTCTCAAACACTTTATTTTTCTATTTGTACAGGGGATTGGTATCCCCAAGCTGATATACAGCAATTATGACTATTCCTCCCGTTGGCGCTCTATACGATCGCCCGGGTTGTGTCGGATGCCTCGTTCAACGCCTTTTCTTAATGACCTCAGCGATGCTAAAAGTCTAGAATGCAAATTACCCCTTTATCACGTAAAAGGGTCTTCCAAGAGGAATGTTTCTTTAAATCTTAGAATTGTGACCTCCTCTCTCCAGCTGGTTGAGCTTCTTCGCCGTCTCAATTTGTGTTCTTGTCCGCTGTCCGCGCACTGGCAGACCCATAGCGTGTCTTCGGCCTCTGTAAGTACCCATATCTCTCAGGCGCTTGATATTGTCTTGCACTATCTTCCTCGCATCGTTTTCTATCGTCATGGTCGACAGCTCAGCTGTCAGAGATGTGATCGTCTTCGGAGTTACAGTGCCGAGCTTCGCGCGAGGGTGTATTGTATACTTGGCCATGATGCGGGCTGCAAGTTGTGGTCCGAGGCCATAGAAACTCTCAAGTGCTTTCTGCAAATTCCTGTTAGAGTGTGTGCGCCTGCGAAAGCACGGGTCGAAGAGTGTTACCCTGACGAGCTTCATCTCGTGGAAGTTTACTCCCATAATTACCACCTGTAGGAAGTCAGAAGCTATTTTAAATACAGAGGAGTCAATGGAGTTAAACGGGCTCACCATCTTGGGCGATTCTAGCACGAGGGCGCTGCTTAGTGTGGTGCAATATTGCTTCTCGAGGCTCAAGGCAATGGCCGTCCAGAATATTATCAATTATCAAATCCATGCTGAACTTTGAACCTCTCTCAATTTTAGCGCTGCGCGGCTTCCATAGGCCAAGCCACTGTAAGGTACGTACTGGGAAGATAAGCCGATAAGGTTAGTCGAGTGGACCCCGCATTCATCCACAGGTTGATTGTTTGGTCGTAGCTGCCGTTTTGTGTGGTTCAGGGGTCTGGAACTTTAGAGCTCTAATGGCTGAAACGAATTGAGGTGTCCTTTTCATACCCCCTTCTCCTTCTTTCTTCTTCAGCCCTCGTTCAAATAGGGACAATTCTTCGAGGCATTCACAATCCAGACCCTTCGAATCTATCGGACTGGTTCTGAAATAACTTCTATTCATCATGTTCAACCTTCGCCGACTTTTCGTTAGCGCCCTGCTGCTCGTGGGTTTGAGCGTCATCTGCTTCTCCCACACAGCCGCTGCTGCCAAGGGCCCCAAGATCACCCACAAGGTCTACTTCGACATCACACACGGCGATGAGCCCATTGGCCGAATTGTCATGGGTCTCTACGGAAAGACTGTTCCCAAGACCGCTGAGAACTTCCGTGCTCTGGCTACTGGCGAGAAGGGCTTCGGTTACGAGGGATCTACCTTCCACCGAGTCATCAAGCAGTTCATGATCCAGGGTGGTGACTTCACCAAGGGCGACGGCACCGGTGGCAAGTCCAGTAAGTACCAGTGCCGTTGATTATGTTGCTGCGGAGAGGTGCTGATTAGTTATTAGTCTACGGCGAGAAGTTCCCCGACGAGAACTTCAAGCTGAAGCACACCAAGGAGGGTCAATTGTCCATGGCGAACGCTGGCAAGGACACCAACGGCTCTCAGTTCTTCATCACAACCATCATCACCTCGTAAGACCCCTCTATCAATGGCAGCAAAAACACAGTATGGGAATTGGGACTAATAGCAATGCAGGTGGCTCGATGGAAAGCACGTTGTGTTTGGCGAAGTTCTTGAGGGCATGGACGTCGTCAAGAAGATCGAGATGGCCAAGACCAAGCCCGGCGACAAGCCGGAGCAGGTGATCAAGATTGCCAAGAGCGGAGAGCTTGAGGTGCCGCCTGAAGGTATCCACGTTGAGCTATAAACACACAACCACCTTAACCCCAGACCGCTCCTCGCTCCGCCTGTCCTCCATCGTTTTCTTACTGATACGTCTACCACGCCTTCCCAGGTTTAACCGGAAATGCCGAATGGGCCGCAGGGTACTCCAATGAAGAGGAGAACCCGTTCGTGGAGACGACCGTTCCTTCTGCTGGGTGGTCCGTCTTCCAAAAGGCTCTCCTGTTCGGTGTTATCCTAGCTGCAGTTGCTTTTTACCTCCGCCTGTCAAAGCGGAGAGGCGAGCGCGACGACATGTATGAGAAGACGATGGCATAAATGCGAAGATATAGATGTCTTAAAATTATGAAAAGTTCCATTGCGCTTGATCAAATAACATTTTGCGCCGCCTTATGTGATTGTTGTAGCTATTCGTGTTATCTCCATCACGTGTGACTTATACCGTTGAATTTTTGGGCGCCATCTAAAATTTTCAACTTTGAAGAACCTTGAAAATTTTGACCTCGCTCACAACGCAAACATCAAACCAAGATGAAGGTCCTAAGTCTCAATTTCTTGACATGCGCTGTCAAAGCATGTAAAAGCTCGTCGACTTCGTATCCATTGCACCCGAAAGATGCAGAGCTGGTGCAGGACGACCTCGAAGTGAACGCCCAGCTTCTGATAAATTTGCTGCCCCGCATTGATTGGGCGGCGCTCTCTACAACAGCTACTGAGGTGAGAATTTCTCATATTTTGATAACTGGGATAAGATGAGAACGAATGCATCCTCTTCCAGTTTCTCTCTTTTAAGATACTGAAAAGTCAAGCGCTAAAAATCTTCTCATTAGCTTGGTTTCCCAGCTCTCCCGCCGCAGCCCCCGTCCGTGGAGGAGCTGCAGAGCGACGAGAAGACGTTGAAGGACTTGCACAACTTGCTCATGGAGACGCAGGTCATGGAGGGAAAACTGGTGTGCGCCAACTGCGGCCATGAGTACGCCGTCCGCGAGGGCATCGCAAACTTCCTCCTGCCAAGTCACTTGGTATGATTGGAAATACATAGCACACATCGAGAGTCAGGATGAGAAAGGCATGAGGAGCAAGGATGGCTGCCAAATTTAAAGACTTGGGAAGGCGTTCAGGAGTTGAACAGAGCCGCGCGGGCTATCTACTTGGTATTCCGAGCTGAACGTTTCCGAGCACGGCGACGGGAAAAGGAAAAGTCGTGGTCAATTCTAGTTGCATATATCTACAGTCTCCTTCCGTTCGATAAAACGATGCCGCGCGATGAAGCCTCGTCATGTTCGGCTTTTATGCTACCCGTTATCCGGACTCCAATGACCCAAAATCGTACAGTACACACTGCCTGAATTACAGCGCTGATACATCTTTCAGCTGAACCAAGGTGTTTTGTGGGTTTAAGTCTACTGCTGCTTCTTTTGCGCCGCAGGACCCATCTCCTTATCGAATGCGCCGTAGGGGACTTCAAGGCTGGCAACAGCGGCAATACCAGCATATAGAATGGACATGAGGATGACGAAAGCGATCAGACCCGTAAAGATGCCTATATATATGTTAATATTTGAAACCCATCTGCGAGTGACGGCTTGGACTGACCTGGAGTGAAATATTGGTATTTCTCAAATAGGGGCAATGTGCGAGTGTTATTGTCTGCCCTCTGTTGAATATGGACCTGTCTCTTCAGTTCCGTGTGCACAGCACCCTCGAACTCAGCTGTATAGGTCTTGTGCGTCTCCTCTCGTGGGAGGCCGGCGTAGATGATTGTGTAGGAGCCTTCTCTCTCGTACTGTTCAAGAACCATACCAAGCTCCTCGTCTATATCACAGTTATTAGCAATTTTTCCTTGGTGGATATGACGAAAAAGAATCACCATTTTGCTTCAACGTCCGAGCGCCGTTGGTCGAGGGAAGGGGGGCAAGCTCGAGCTCATCGATGAACGGCTTTTCGCATGCTCTCTCGATGTTTGCGGATATGGTCTTCGTGTCTAACTGCCCAACCACCTCTGCGACAGTATAGCGAAACTGAGACTTCTCTATTGCGCGACCCAGGTTAGGTATCGCGTCCCTCGAGACTAGATCGCCCGCATGGATGTTCGGCTGGGAGACAATGAGGTATCGTTCGGTTGGGCAACCCGTAAGGAGCTGCTGGAGAGACGTATAGACATCGGCACTCGATTGTACTTGATTACGGCTGGCTGGGGTTTCCAATCTGGATGATATGTCACGATTAGTTGTGGTCTACACGGGAGCTAGAAGGGCGTTGATATCGAATTGCTTACTTGGCCGATGAGAATAAGATAACAGGGGAAGTGTCGGAGAAAGCTTGCGCAGAAGCGCAGCAAGCTGCCAGTGCTGCTGCTGTCGATAAGAGACGCATTGTTTCGGTGGTATGTCTCTTTTGCGAAAATACTAGTTGGATGGATGACGAATGTTAGAACGAGGTAGTTAAGCTCGGAAGGCTGAAGGCTGAATGAAGCTCTTGGGAAATTTGACGTTTGACTCGTAGAACAAGGAACCTGGGTACAGTACACCCCCTGTAATAATGTTAGTTTCCTGTCCGAGCTTCTACTGATTTACGCTGGGGTTCTGATGTTTCGAGAAATATTACTACTATACTCGTTAATAGTATAATAATGATAAAAGGTTTGAAATCTTAATAGTAAAGGTGTTATATAAGTTAAAATTTATTATTAAAATTTTCTAACTTATTTTCTATAGCTGTAAAATATGTTATTTCCTTTAATATAAAGGTATGTACATATTTGAAAGTGCGTATAAAGTAGAAGCTCGGACAGGAGACTAACATTATTACAGGGGGTGTACTGTACGCTACGCGGCAAGTCCCGGCCTATCAGACAGTGCAGCTACGGGCGTCGGTAGGCGTCGGTGG